AAAGTGGCGGGACTTGACAGTGGACACTGTTTGAAAGTGGCGGCTTCCTTTGAACGTTGGGTCCCGCCCAGGGTGAAAATCGTGTCGAGGAAATAACCGCCTCTTTACGACCCCCTCCAAAACATGGACTCTGATACGACCCCTTTTTGTCCTCTGCACATCCGGTTTCATATCAAAAAATGCTAGTTTCAGATGTGCGAGAGGGACGCAGCGCCGCTGCCACGCAAATGCGGCTTGATCCAAATGCTAGATTCAATTCTGCTCAGATTAGGTTCTCCTTCTTTCCTTTAAAGACATTTAACCTTTGCCACATTGGCCGGAAAGTAGAACATTGAAGGAGGTACTGCCCCTACACAGTTGAACAGTCTCGCGCTCCAGTATAGCGGCGCTAACTACCCGCGATCGCGTCGCGCGCTGTGCCTAGAGCGCGCTAGTTGGAAAAATCGTCAAATGTACCCCCTATTTAAAGGACTATAACTTTCTTCATTGATAACCATTTCAGAAAGTGAAGGCAGCTTTTGAATGCACAAGACTTCTAGTTTCTAAATTGTGCTGAGCGTTTTTCTAAGCACGCCTATTCTCGAGAGTGGGAGACGTCGAGGAATTGTCGAGGAAATTGAAATTTACATGCGAGTTCCCACTCTTTGGAAGACAGTAGCTGTCTTCATTGGCAATGCTTTGAAAATCGGAGGAAAGCGTTGTAAAGTAGAAGATTTACGCTTTCTGATAGGTGCTCCAGTTGTTTCGAACGCTTTCTAGTTCGCGAGAAATCTGCGTCGAGGAAATGTCAAGGAAATTTTCGAAGCCACTCGAAAACTCTATTACTCCCTCGCCGTAGTAGGGAACTTCTTTGAACACCTTCAAAATACTTCTGTACACGTCAGTTCGATGGAGTAAATTGAAAATGATGCACTTGGCGCAGATCCATTCCGTTCTTGTATGCGCCATGCAGTGACCCCACTCGGAGTCATTGGGAAGGTGTTTTGTCCTAGTGACGACTTGCTTAAGCACACCAAAAGATATTTCCAGTATTAACTAATTAGGATTCTTGTGGTCATAGTGATGTCTGATCATTCCTTTATTCAAATCGCTTCCTTTCCAACCCGTTCTGATGAATGACACGCTTGCGGTTGCAGGATCTGATGATGCCAAGAAGGCTGCGAATCTGCCTGTTTTGAACTTTCTACCAAGATGCTGTTCCTCCACTAAGTTCTCGAAGCATGTACATCATTCTAGAGTAGATACTCGCTGCCCTTTCCCTACGATTCTTTTGCAGGACGCGTTGCCTTCCTATGCCATACTGATCACTACGAACCAAACCAACAACCACTTTCCATTTAAATTTTAATTCCAGACAGTTGTAAGATATTATTTGCATTAGGCTAACTACAACACTTGTGAAACTAATGATGACAGCAAATAAGTGGCAGCAGCACCGTTGTGTCCGTTGATGAACCTTTTGATTACGACCCCCTCCCAACTCTCATCGGAGCAAATACGACCCCCTGTCGAGGATTTCCTCGACCGTTATTCACCCTGATCCCGCCACTATTGAGTGGCTGGCATGTCGTTCGACTCGCTGGTACATCGGTCGATTCGCATGACATCGGCGAAGCGGGAATGACACGCTGCGAGGGGTTCGCGGTTTGGCGCCCTTTCAGAAACGCCAGGAGCCGTGTGGTGTGCGCGTCAGCATGCGGTGCTGCCTGGTGGTTTTCATATAATCAAAATGGCGAGTGAAGGTGGTTTCGTGATTGTAGACGCCGTATCGCACTTTAGCTTAGCTCGAAATCCCTTGGAGCCGCTTAATCTGGGAAAACCGAAACTGACGTGAGCCTAGGCTAACTGCAAATTGCTAAGTCAGAGACACATTTACTGTCTCTACTACTGTGAATGGATATCGAAAATGTGGCGCATTCTCGAGAGTTGATTTCCGGCGACAAGGTGTGCTTTCTTTAGCCCGAAGCGACCCAAACTTCCATGCGACCTCGGTGGTTGACGCTCCTCGAGGATACCCAGTAGTTCCAGGAGGCTTGAGTGGACTGAAGAAATGGTGACCACCAGTGAATACTTGTTTACATAGAGACTGATTTCGAAGTTTCGGTTATCGTAGCTTTTCAGTATCTGTTGTTCGGTTCATTCACTCGCAATGTTCCTCATCGAACAGTTTCTGGAACTACTGGGTATCCTCGAGGAGCGCCCACCACCAGGGCCGCCCGGACAGAAGCCCCCCAGGTTGGCTAATTATAATTCGTGATTTCCCATAGGAGTATTTTGATCCTAGCAGTTCGGGCGCAAGCCGCCCTGGCTGCTTCAAGTGGGTCATTGCAACGGCGTCAAGTGCAAGCGTCTAAGAATTACGCCGGATCGCTCGAGTTTTAGACGTGCCTCTCGGGTGCGTCGCTCGGAACAAGCGCCGTTTAAGCGCATTGATTCTAGGGAGGAAGACATGTAGAGGCCTCGGAGAAGAGCTGCAGCTGTGGAAATAGCGCAGTGAAGAAAAGTCTGCTGCAGGCACCCTTTTCGAAATGTTCACTGGTGCTTGACATCAGATTCAGCACCTCGGAGTGCTTACGTTAGGATCACGAGAGAGCGACTAAAGCAGTGACAGTTGTTTGAGCAATGTACACAAACTCGAACCGCACCTGTTGTGAAGTACAGAGTTCGAGCTTGTCAACGACGCACGTTCCAGCTTCACATGTGTTCGGAGCGCTCGAAAGCCCCACATTTCGCCTGATGGCGACAATCGACCCGCCGTCGGCAGGGCCGCCGCGCGTCTCGATTGACTCCGCCTTCGACTTCGTAGGAAGTGCTGCTTCTGGGCCCTACTCGCTAGATCGTCCTGTATTTCTGGTTTTTGAATTGATGCTGATTTTGAGATTAGATAGCTCTTGTTCTCTGCCTAGCTCCTATGATATACCTCTTAAATGCCACGCAGTTTGAGTGAACTTTGTTTGATATCACACTGGCACTAATTATCGGGTTTTCTGAAGTAGAAATTTTTTACAAAAACATAGGTTACAGAGCCGAAGGCAAACATTCTAATGCGAAAATTAGGAAAAGGTTGTCAAAAGACTCTTCTCGATTTTCCTGCAGGAGCGCCACACGTCGTTAACACAAAGCACTTACCTCAACATCTGCAGCGCATTCGATTGCTCACTCATTGCATCATAAACTCCTCTGCCTACCCATTCTCACCCCTAGACTCGTCCGATCTCACGTAGAAGGGGTGGGGGGGGGGTACGGACTGCTTGAACTTTCGTCTGTAGCCCTGCCAAGAATGGTGGAGAGCACAGACGATTCAAGAGCGGCGCCTGGATCGACTCTAAATCCCAAGGAGGTGAGAGACCCAGGACTAAGTAGGAAGCCTTCCGAAGTGGGTGAGAAAAGTTTGAGTGTGTGGGTCGTTGTGGTCGTGAGCCGCTGATAAGGCGAGAGAGCGCAGACGAGAGCGTGAATTGAGGCAGCTTAAAGGACCCAGTTCATGTAGTCCGTCGACCGGAAAGGGGTGGGGGGTGAAAAGACGCGCAAAACATTTTCGCAATGGCCGCGCATCGGATTAGTGGTTGCGTCCATCGTGTTTCGAAACACTATGGAATTGTGGACTCACTCAGAAACCCACGGTTCCAATTCCGAAAAGGCTAAATCTCCCTACCACAGCTATCCAAGTTTACAGGAAGAAAGTAAACTCAGGGGTGAGCTCTGCATTCACTCTAATTCGGAATTGCGGTGGCATTTTATTCTATTTTACTCTATACAATGACGTGGGGGGGGGGAGGGTGATGTGTAGTAAGTTTTTTGCCCGTCCAGACGAACCTTATACCAAATGTGCTGAACGAGTGGTAGGCCTGAGTGGGACTCGAGTTCGCGACGCACTTACCACAACCCATCTCCGCCTGAAGTTTGTAACAGATCAATCTTGTTCCTCAAGAAAATGTGAACCTACGCAATGGTGGCTTGGTGGTGCTGAAATTTGACATGAGGAGGGTGTTCCGAATGCGGCGACATTTCGGGAATTTTTCGGCTGTGAGTTAGGAGTCGGGATCGAGGAGGCTGACAAGAGGGCCTGTGTTGAAAGAGACCGAGAAGAGCTCAAAGCGCTAATACAACTTTCAATCCAATTTCTAGCTGCTATAGCTTAGATTCGTTTACTCGAATTCTACCTCTCAGTTCAGTGTGGTGTGTTGGGTCTGTGGTGTGGTAGTAGCCATTCCCTTGTTACAAAGAGAGTCATCCGAACTCTCTTTGTAACAAGGGAATGACCACTATCAAATAGGAATAGCGTAATAGTTAACGATGGGGCGCTATCGCTAGATTCGGAGGCATCCTTTTGAACTTAGCCTAGGGATGGGCAGGAGCTTTCGAGAAAATGAAAACTGCTCACGCACCTTGGAGTCTCTTCCCCTCGCTACCGCTTAGTCCCGACATCAACAAGAAGACGATGTTACGCGATTCTAAATGCGTTGCCATCACTAGCCACCATAGTTACGATAGCGCCAGCGATGGCTTTACGTACGAGGTCAAACAAAGCGCTTCATATTGTTATTCGCGTATTACAATCTCCTATATACCAATCGTTTATGCCATGTTCACAATTCGTGCATCGGATGGTGAAGGATCGGAGAATCCTCGAAAAGATCGGAAGCTTATTGATAACCGCACCAAACTGACTTCGCCTTGACTAGAAAGATATGCATTCGGTTGAAGAGAGCCAAATTAATCAATGCGCACGTAATGCGTTTCGCAACTTTTCCGATTTTCCAAGATACCAAGCATGATGGATCGGGTCTCAAAGAACTCTTCTCAATCCTGATTAGTCACGACAGTGACAGGCTTGGGATTGATGTGCCGTTGGTTTCTTCGTCATGGGCAACACCGGTTGCAACACGATATCATCGTCAGCTGTTTGTGTTTTTTATCATTTTTGAATGTGTGTGATAACCGCTGACTTCGAAAAGCGAATCAATGAGACTTCATTTTCTACTGACCCTTGGTTAAGGATGGCTTCCTACTCGCAGTACCTCACCAAAGAGAAAGAAGATGAACTTCGCGGCATCGCCAACGCTATTGTGGCCCCCGGCAAGGGAATTCTCGGTAAGTATCAGGTCCTCTGGGCTTACCCATCATTTATCGCAACCTTCTACAGCTGCTGATGAATCCACTGGAAGTATGGATAAGAAAATGAAGAACATTGGCACAGAGAACACTGAAGAACAGCGTCGAAAATACAGACAGGTAGGCTCGCTGTAATCCTCGAATGATACCACCATACTCAAATGATTGATAAACTTTCAGCTTTTGTTTACTGCAAGCCCCGAAATGAGCAAGCACATTTCTGGTGTAATCATGTTCCACGAGACTTTCTATCAAAAATGCGATGATGGGACGCGTTTCGTTGATGCGCTGAAGAAGCAAGGCATTATACCGGGAATTAAGGTAAGTTAATCGTTTCTGAACCCACGTCAAAACGGAAAACAAGTACTCTGGGCAGAGGGCTGAAGGTGAACTCGAGAGGATATCCGTTTTCGAGGGAAGGCAACGTTCATGCACGTGAGAAGCAAGTCATTCCCTGCGTCTTTCCGATCAGCACCAACTGAATTGGATGGCAGCTTTCAGTGGAGAAATCTCCAACCTGGGTGCAAGTGGAGGAGGGGGGGGGGGTGTTGCAGCCGTGCCGGTCTTCCCGTTTTCGTCACTCGAAACGATGTGTCTCTCCTTGGATTCTTGTTTTCTCCTCTCGGCGCCCGTTATCTCTTATCTCAATGTCGGCTTCTTACCATGAAAGCTTTTCAACTTCTCCATGATACTTTGGGTAGACCTAAGTAAATCGATGTAGTAAAGATTGCTTGTCACAAATATGGAGATCAAAAGTGCTATTCGCAAGTTGTGGACAATTCAAATTGAAATAATACAGGAAAAAGTAAGGTCTATGCCAGCAGGTTACCCATTTACCTGTATAGGCAACGTTCTAGGGAAAACGGAAAAGATGATGAGGATGGGTTAGCTCGTCTCATGCATTGACTCTGCATTCCCTTCCAACTTTTACGGCTCATCACCGTATGAAGGTTCTGATAGAAGTTTTGGTCTCCATACGATAACCAACATTCTTGATTGGATCTACGCAGCTCTTCACTCAAAGTCCTATGAGGAAGCTGAAAGCTATTCCGGGTTAGACTTTCCCACAGCGAAAACAAAGAAAATCATCTGATGTATAACCAAGCAGCAACCAGGCAGCACCGCACGCCAATTCGTGCTCCACAGCTATGGGCACCAAACCATGACTCCCCACAGCGCTTCGCTCCCGCATCGCCGTAGCCTAAGGCTAACAAGGGAGGTCTTTCAGGCTATGGAGCGCTTCTTCGAATGGTTTTCTGCATGTTGTAGGGGCTCATGCGAGGAACACAAAACCATGACTTTTCCTGAACTCTTCCAGGACTGTCAGAACAGGGGTGAAGAAACGTACCAGAGTTCGATCTCCGGTCATGACTAATTTTTGCAGTATAGTTTTGCGCCCCCAGACCGCAGCCAAATAGCGCCATCATACGACTGTGAAAAAATTTTTCAATTAGAGAGTATCGTACTTTGAAAGACATTTCTATCAGCCTGCTTGAACTTCGCCGGGCCTCCAAGGGGATGGCATGGTTCTGTGGCTCTCACATGAGCCTCTACAATACCCAAAAAAACCATTTTGAAATAAAAAACGCTCCATGTCCTGGAAGACCCCCCGTCTAAGAGAGACAACCTAACATTGAGAAAGCAGGGTGATGTAACAGAGCGAGGAGGTGACGCCGAATTATTAGTAAGTAAAGCAAAAAAAACCCACAAAAGAGAGGAAGAGATGAATTTCAATACGGAAAGCCGTGTCATGATGCCATTGCGAAACGGTGATTTTAGGTTGACAAAGGTGTTGTGCCCATGGCCGGTACTGTTGGAGAAGGTACCACTCAAGGAATGGACGATCTCAATGCTCGATGTGCTCAATATAAGAAGGTAGCAATGTTTTATCCTTTTTTACTTTACATATTATGGTGAAGTGTTCAAAGTGAGGATTTAGAGCGCTAAAGTGATCACACAACATCCTCGATGAACATCCTCAGAAAATCGGAAATCGGGGTGCATGTGATGTTGGATAAGACAGTAGATCCAACCAGCGACGTGTCTGCCGGTTGTGGGTACTCCTGCTTTTGCTTCCCTGTGGCAGCACGTCCTGTTGCCCCATTTGCGAATGCGCTAGCATCTAAGCACCAAAAAGCACGGGCGAAATCGAGTGATTGTATCGAGTGAACAGAATGTCAATGCGAGCTCGCAATAACGACAGGTCAGGCATTATGGAATACGTGTCGATTAGTCCGCGTTCAATGGTCAGTGTTCTAGATATTTGCTTACAAGAACTTAAATATTCGTAGAGGGGCTTCTTTAGCTCGAGACAGACCCAAACATCTGAGTCTCGGTGTCGGGATCGAGGAGCAGATTAGGGAAGAACAACACGTTGCTGCAGTCACGTAGGACAGTTTGGAAGTGAAGCACATTTCCAATTACTGTAATTCATGCATGTGTT